CCTTAATTGCATGACCTTAGGTTCATGTTCAGTAAAGAAAAAAAAGTTGTTGTTTTTTTAAATCAGATTTGCCCCAGCAAAGCAAGTTCCAGAAAATAGATTGTTTTATGTTTTTTACTTCTGCGGTTTTTAATTTTTACTTCAGTTTCATTCTGGTAATGGTAAATGTTTTCTGTCTGTGTAGTCAAGGACTTGATTTGTCATAAGGGGAAAGTGCTAATTTGAAAAAAGTTTGCATGTGTAGCCTTGTATACTGGGGACTAAATTATAAAAACCCTGCACCCAGAGAGCAGGGTGGGTATACATAATACACATTACCTTGCGTATAAGTTAGGAAAGTTTGCTGTTTTGGTGCCAACTAAAAATATATTTCTTCAGAGATGTTGTTTCCTGCTTATGTTTAATTTTATATTTAGTGATCACTTGTATCCATTTAATATACAATGTATATTTCACTAAGGGTGCCTCTTAATGTGATCCTTTCCTTCGAATGAACAAACAGAATAATTTTCTATAATTATAAGATTGCATTAATCCTCTGTGCAAAAGGCTGAACTGAACAAGGCAATAAACAATACTCTGCTATATGTGTGTTTTGGTTATTTTTGGCTTAAAACATCCTTTTTATGCATTTCACATTTTATTGGTTCATGATTTTTCCAACACTTTCACTTTCATTGTTTTTCTGTAATGTGGTGAGCAAGTTTGCTTTTGTCACTGATAGATAAGATCACTTTATTGGCCATATACAATTTCTTGTATTAGGAATTTGTCTTTTTTTTGGCATACCCCATCTTCCTCTCCATGAAACACACAGTCGGGGACAGAAGCTTGGGGTCAGAGCACAGGGTCAGCCATTTATATGGCACTCCTGGAGCACTTGGGGTTAAGTGCCTTGCTCAGGGGCCCAACAGAGTAGGATTCCTCTGCCGGCTGCAGGATTTGAACCGGCAACCTTTCAGCCACAGGCGCAGATCCTCAGCCACAGAGCCACCACGCCAATGCTTCCATCCGCTCTGCGTGTTCAGTGATGTTCAGTCTGTATTTCAGAAACCCCAGCCCTTCTATGACAACCGAGAGAAACTGAACCCCCCTTAAAGACTTAATTTTTACGTTAATTATAATACAGTATTCAATAATTAATGCCTTTTCTAAATTTAGGCCAATTAGAGTGTCTATGCAGTACTACCATTTGTCACAAGAGGGCGAAAATGGCACACGACAATTTGCCATTAAAACCTGTTTGTCAAACCATTGAGAAAAGATCTGTTTCTGGACTTTCTTTTTTCAACAGAGCAGTGGAATGTTCTAGACTGCAGAGCGGATGGAAGCATGTTGTCTGTTATACAAAAGGTAGTGGGAGCTTGGGCCCTGGCTCAATACCTAGGGTGCTGTCTGCGTGTGCGTGGAGTTTGTGTGTTGTCTCCTGGTTTGTGTAGTTTCCTCTAGGTGCTCCAGTTTCGTCTCCCAGTTCAAAAACTGTTGCTGGACAGAATAGGCTTCAGCTCCAGCTGTCCCCAAACACTATAATGGCTACATCAGTTAGAAAATGGATGGATGGACATCCAGGTTTACAAAGATATTAGAGATTTTTGTACTAACCAGTTTTCTTCATACACTCTTTTAACTTCAAGCAACTTTTTCCCTCAGTGTACTTGATTACCTCCTCCTAAGTTATGGCCGCAGGACATCCCTTCAAAGGTATATATTTTATCCTGTTTAAAAATAAGCTCACTTCTTGATGCAGTTTTCCTCTGTTTCTCTTTTTCCTTTACTAGTGATTTGATGAGTTCTTCGTTTTTTGCGGGAGGAATCTCAAAAAGAATTTTTTGGTAAAAATATTGATTCTAATATATATATTTTAATTTAAATTACTTTAAATGTAGACGTATGAGCTATTTTTAATTGCTTGATTATTCTTTTGGCCTCTGCAGAAATAGAATCACGCACATTGAGAACATGTACGAAGAGGACTCTAAAATAAAGCTGCAGGACATGTTAAAACTTACAAATACCTGCGCTATTTTAAAAAAAAAACGTTTATAGACAAACTACAAAACGGTTTGAGGGTGATTGATTCCATAAAACCCTTTGAAATGGCACAACTCGGGGCTGCTTCGGGTCAGAGTGGTGAGGAATTTGTTGCTACACGTGCTGCTCATGCCATCGCCACGCCCCGTGTTATCTTTGACACGCCCCCTCAGCGCCGCAGTTCGGAGGCCACGCCCCTGGGTCTCCGCCAGCGTCCCCTTCACACGTTTGGGGAAGTTTCGCTTCTCAGAGGAAGATTTAAGATATCTAATCTGATCTATTTCAGTGTTCGCTGATATGTTTATAAAAAGTATGGAATTTGTTATGCTATTTATACTGGATTTTAATGTTCTGTTGCTTACATATAAGGCACTGAACGGTCTCGCTCAAGGTTACTTTAGGACTTTTATTGCTTGAGTATAGTCCAACACTTGATCTGAGATGTGCTGATTCAGGTCTTCCTTTTTTTACTTGCGGCCAGGCTCACACGATGAAAGCCAGAGCACCACGATTTTAAAACTCACTGCCAAAAATCGGAGACTATGTATCCGTTGCTTTTTTTTACTAAACTTTTCATGTATGATTTTACTTTTGGTATTATTTGGTCAATTTACTGAGTGATTGTTTACTGACGTGGTGTTTTATGCGTGTACACTCGTGCAGCGCTTTTTTTATAACACTTCTAACTATAGCATTAACTCGTTTTTTCATGTTTTATTTTAGAATTTGCTTTGAAAGATAGCCTAAACCTCAGACAGTTCAATGTGTTATTAAAATACAGATGCCTGGATTATTCCAGGCGGTTGATGTTTTGTTTTTATGAGTGTTGCTCACGGACGTTTGAATTAGTGCATTGTTATTAAATTGTTTGATGATTAACTAATCAATAAAATACAAAGATAAAGGCACCTGTGTTTAATATCTACAAAGATTACAAAGTAATATTCCGCACCTTCTTTAAAGCTGTAGCTGAACCCAAGATACTAGGATCCTTAACGTCTAAAGCGTAGGTTTGAACATTTTGTTTAGACAACCACTACTACTTATCAAGATGTTGATTTCTTTTCTTTTTTTACTTAGAAACGTTTTATGTAATCGGCGTTTGGTATGCTACGTGACGTCCGGTAGTCGGTGTGTTACCGGTAGTAATATTACCATTCACCTACATTACTCTCAGAATTACAGCAGTTTAGGTATTTTGGATGTCAAGGTGACCGAAAGATGTACAATATGTGTTATGTTTACCGACTGCCGAAAGGAAAAACGAAGGGATTACGTCAGTTTACTATTCCCTTATGAAACTGGAAGAAAGAACAGGTACAGATTTATGCGAACATTAAACACATGAATAAAACAAAACACAACCAACTGCTCTTAACGTAGACGGTGAGATGCTTAACGGCAAAAACACACACGTCGTTACTGATGGCCTTTTTTCTTCCTAGCTTTCAAGGGGATTTCATTGAAGTTATGTATTAGGTCATCACACATCTTTGCAGAAAGAACTAGCATGAAGCTTCATTATTGTGAAAAGTCACAGTAAAACTACTCTCAATTTAAAACGGCTCTAAAGCCCTTATTTATCATAATTGCACCTGTTATCCACCTGCAGTCTCACGCCTGTCTCATTGACGGATGTTTCAGGAAGTGGGCAGGAACAACACCTTCATTGGTTGCCGAGATCCCCTCCCCTTCATCAGACCTACCCCCTCCTACACCTTATTTGCTGCCTTCAACCCTCCGTCAAAATAAGTCACGAGGACGGCCCTGGGCAGTAACTCCGCCCCCATATGTTTGTTTTCTTTTCTTATTGGCTTTTGCCTCGGAAAACACCCCGCCTCCTTATAAAATTGGTAGTTGATTGGGTGCGGGGGCCGCCCGTCTTTGGGCATCACGAGGAACACGAGTTCATACTGTGCTTGCTCCGCTGTGTTGTTGGTCAGAGGAGCTGGAGACGCGTGGTGGGAGCAGACAGGTCTGATGCATGAGTCAAGGAAACCCGCAGAGGAGATGAAGGCGGACTCCGATTGGCTGTGATTTTTAAAAGCCCTCTTCTTTTAAAAGCGGTTGCCCACAATCAAGATGGCAGAGCGCTCGGCCACAGTGCCCACTTTAAAGATGGCGGCGCTCAGCCGGGTCCGAGTTCTGGCTCTGGTATTCTTTACAGTCAGCGGCTGTTTGGTGAGCTTGTCCAGCGGCGAGGAAGGGGCAGAAGAGACGGTTATCATTGGGCTCAGACTAGAAGACACAGACGACGTTTCCTTTATGGACGGGGGGTCCCTGCGGGTCAGCGAAAGGACCCGGGTCAAGCTGAGAGTCTATGGGCAAAACATTAACAACGAGACGTGGTCCAAAATCGCCTTTACAGAGCATGAGCGGAGCAAAGTCGTTGGCAACATTGACAGCACCACTAGGGATAATAAGAGCAAAGAGGATACCTCAAGCTATCATCCCTGTGGCATTAGGACTTCGGATATTATAATTTTGCCCAATATTGTCTTAAATAGAAAGACTTCTGGCATAGTGGAAATTGAAATTAAGCCTCTGCGGAAAACGGAGAAGAGCAAAGCCTACTACTTGTGCATTGCCATGCCAACACCTGCTGTGTCTGGCGTGCACGACCCATGGACTGAGACCACCTGGATCTACCATGACGGAGAGGACACGAAAGTGATAGTGGTGGAGGAGAGGAAGTTCTTGCTGCCCTTTTGGCTGCAGGTCATTTTCATCTCGCTGCTGCTCTGTCTCTCGGGCATGTTCAGTGGGCTGAACCTGGGACTGATGGCGCTGGACCCCATGGAACTACGCATCGTCCAGAACTGCGGCACGGAGAAGGAGAAGAACTACGCCAAGAAAATCGAGCCGGTCCGGAGTCAAGGGAACTACCTGCTCTGCTCGCTGCTCCTGGGGAACGTGCTTGTGAACACCACCCTGACCATTCTGTTGGATGACATCGCAGGCTCAGGGTTGATAGCTGTGGTGGTGTCCACCATCGGGATCGTGATCTTTGGCGAAATTGTGCCCCAGGCGATCTGCTCCCGGCACGGTCTGGCTGTAGGTGCGAACACCATCTTTCTGACCAAATTTTTCATGCTGCTCACTTTTCCTGCGTCGTACCCCGTGAGCAAACTCTTGGACTGCGTCTTGGGGCAGGAGATTGGCACGGTGTACAACAGGGAGAAGCTCCTGGAGATGCTGAGGGTCACAGATCCCTACAATGACCTGGTCAAAGAGGAGCTCAACATCATCCAGGGCGCCCTGGAGCTCAGGACTAAGACCGTGGAAGATGTCATGACTCCCCTGCGCGACTGCTTCATGATCACCGCCGACGCCATCCTCGACTTCAACACCATGTCTGAGATCATGGAGAGTGGGTACACTCGGATCCCCGTCTACGAAGGGGAGAGATCTAACATTGTGGACCTTCTGTTCGTTAAGGACTTGGCCTTTGTCGACCCGGACGACAGCACACCATTGAAAACCATCACCAAGTTCTATAGCCATCCCTTGCATTTTGTTTTCAATGACACCAAACTGGATGCCATGCTGGAGGAATTCAAGAAAGGTGGGGCAGTATTTTTTTTCACTCACTTTGTTTACCTCCTTCAGATATTTATTGCATTTTAATGTTTCACCTTGGCAAGGGTTGAGTTGTAACACTTCTAGTGATGAGTGCTCTGATAAAGTGCGCCGAGTCTTTGTCATAACTGAGGGTGAGATTGTCATAGGACATGTCAATGTACAGTTATTTCCCTGATTACCATGGGGAATAAATGCGGTCTGATGATGCGGCTGTCTATAAGGTGTTTTCACAAGTATTTCCGAAAGTAGTTCGGTTTCTGGAAAAAGGTTGGTTCCCGATTTGGAACATCAGACACTTATCGCGATCTACTGTATATCAACCAGGATTCTGTATGAGGTTTTGCTGTTTTTGCACTTCTTGCTTCCCCGGTGTTCAGATGGCAAAGCGCTGCGCATTTTCATGCGGTAAACAAACAACAGTGCATCTTGCATCCTGCCACTCGCAGTCCTGTCGGGAGGGTGAATAAATTATGCCCATTCCCGTCGGGGGTTTGTTTGTTTGTTTGTTTTTGTCTTCATCCGCTCTTGTGGCTTGTGGAAAGTACGTGTGGCGGGTTGCAGGTCGCCAGGTGCTGCAGCGGTGCAGTGCCCCACACGCTGGCTGAGAGGACCGGGCGCAGGCACTGTGGGGGCTGAGCTGCCAGAGGGTACCAGTGCTGCCTGCTCAGCGATTCACGGGCTCATCAGATTGCTGTTTGAGTCCGAGGTGTACCCATCGCATCTACTGTGTTCAAAGGCGAATTGATCCAAACACTTATTACCTGTACGCTACCACCACGACCCGATATGCACAAATCGCAATCACGCGGACGATGGGATCGTCGTGGATCCAAATCGCATAAAACATATGTATATATTCATCAGTTTCCCTACGGGATCAATAAAGTCTTATCTATCTAAATGTCGCCCAGTTAGATTGAAATTTCGCAGGCCTTATCTAATTTTTCTACGGCGTTTTGCAACTTGATGGCCGCCTGAACGGTTTATTTTATTGCGCAGGTGGCACTGGGGAAAAAAAACCCGTTAATAAAAATCAACTGCACTGATTCTAACCGCTACTGATTTCAAAATAGCATTTTTGAGATCAAACGTAGTTGTTATATTTTCTTTCATTCTCCCGATGAAGCTCCAAACGCCTATTGTATTCTAAAACACGATACACACGTTACACGTGGGCGTTTCAATGAAATATTGTCTAGTATGAGCTATCCATCCAACTTGTTTTTACCTGTAAAACAAATGAAATAATATTATTCCGATGTCAGTGATTTGCAGAAAGGGCAAATGTTTTGTTTGGTTAATGCTTGTTAGTCTTCTACCGTATGTGATAAATTTGCAGTATTCGCTTGGGCTGAACCGCAGAGTTGACTTTTAAGAAGAACCTGGTCTGGAGTTTTCAATGTCCTCCAATCGCATGTCACGTTAATACTGCGGTGGCCTTACTATTAAAACACCATGCTACTTTCAAGTCAGACTTGTTTTTTGGGCGCGCAAGTTAAACAGTTATTCGTGGGTTTTCATAGTTTATGCAAGACTAATATCGCTTAAGTGTATTTGGCATATGTATACTGTCCCAAAGCAGCCGACACCTCGACACTATGAAATGCAGTAAAACATTATGTGTTTCACAATCAACACGAAAAAGTGTCCCTAAAATGCTTTGACATATGCTTTTGCACAATCAGCTGTAGGCTATTGTCAGTTACCTGCAGGGTGTCTTAAATGAAGGCCCGGGTGCGGGTAGAGCCTCGGAGTTTGTGAATTGTTTCATTTGAACAGCTGACCCTTCAGTTTCTGTGATGTACTCGCTGCTTTGAAGGCAGTACGGTGCTTTATATTGTTTCACGCACACTGTACATTTCACTTTTTTAAGTGTCATCCATGAAGCACTATCTGGTTTAATTAATTTGGTCGGGGTGCATCTAAAAAATAATGACGACGAATGTCAGTGCTTCCTATATATCAGATTTTGTTTTGCAAAAAAACAGCTTGCTTCATTATTTTGTGCGCGCGCGTCTGCTTTATTTTGCAGTTATCAGTATTGATGCGAGAACCGATAGCTGATTGATCGCTCATACAATAGAGGTTTGCATCGATTTAGCAATGGTTTTAATCCCTGAGTCTGGTATCTGGCATTTTCTTGATCGACGTACTTTGCTACTTTGTGATGCTCTGTGCAGCAGTCTGCCTGCTGAGGTAATACTACCCTTACACTGAAAGAAAAATGCTATTTGCTGCCTCTCTAAAGCATCCTGCCCACTCTGTTCAAGATCATTTCTTGCTAACTGCGTGTGGATTCTCTTTGGAAAGTACAGGCAGGATTTTAGCCCTTCAAATAGTGTTTGCTCAAGTTAGATCCATGCGCCATTAAGGTGCAGTGCATGTTAGCAATCATGTTCATATAATCTGTAATTTATGTTGATCCTCTTTGTCTAGAGTATTTTTTCCCCCAAAATAGAGATTCTCGTTGTATACATTGCTAACATGCCAAGTACCAAAAACCTGGTTTTCTGGTACTTCTAGTAGATATCTAAGCGGATGGCTTAAATAAGTTGTGAAACTGGCCAGAGAATCGTCTTGTATAGACTTTGTCATCTTCACAAAATTTTAACTCTTTCTTTCCTGTTCACAGACAATGAAATCTGCTTTCTGGAGAAGTAGTAGATTAGATTAGACTAAGGACTAAACTTAATAATGTTTGGTAGACAAATGTAGGGTCTAGTATACAGTATGTTGCTGAATGAAGTTAACAGAAGTGTTTGAAGACACTGAGGTTTCTTCTTGTCTTAATATTTTAAGACAGGACCTCAGGCGACAGTATATTACATTCCTGGAATATGTTACTATCTCTGCTATTTAAATAATGTTATAATTAAATCATTCCAAGATTACAGAAACAAGGGTATTTCAACCTGTTAAATGTATCTTCCCCAGCTGCCTTCAGTCCCCTCCCCCAACACACGCAGTTCATTTGCCCCTCATAATTGTGAACTGTAGACTGAGGTGAGACTGACTGTACGGCAGTATTTACACACTAGATTCATGGGAAACATAATAAAACTGAATGTCAGTGGACTTAGTACTACTACTATTCATTTCAGATGTATAAAGCAGAATGAGTACTAGATCTGATCTGTACACGTAGTTTGTGTGTTATGAGGTGGAATGTGCACATGTTAAAGATCCAGTGGAAATAGAAAGGTATATAGATGCTTATTCACAGATGTTTTTTCCTTACAAATCAATCTCTTGCTCCATCACAGCAGTTCGTATCTGGTAGTTAGGAAAGCCAGGTCTTTAGAGTCCTCGTCAGGCTGCACTGTAGGGTTTTCATTGACTAGATAAAGGAAAGACACTGCTTTGTTTGACATGATGCTTCAGGTTAAAAACTTCTACAGGGTGGGGGGAAATCTTATCCTTGGTAGTTACTGTTTAGCAATTGGGCAAGGCTGACTGGAAGTGTTGCTAAAATCTTTTCTTGGTTACCAGAAACATTTAGGATCTTCCTCCACACCTCTGTGAATGTCTCCCTGAAACTAGTACAGTTCATTATAAAACTAATGCGGTGACGTTTTAAAATTTGATTCTACTTATTCTTCAACTAGCCTCTTAACACAAACTTGAAAATGATGCTCTGTTGTCAGATGGCGCTTTGGTATATCTTTTCCTGCCTTCCTATTTAATTTACACGTGATACTTTGACAAAACTCAAAATACATTCTTTTTTCCTTTTTCATCTGGACATTATTTTTAGAATTAGGTGGTAGAAATCAGTGCTTCTGAAAGAGCAAAGGTAATGTTATGTTATGAAGATAATCTTGTCTTTATATCACTACAAACCTTTGTCTGCGTTAACATTAGGCATACAGAGCAAGGTAACAAGCTTAAGTCCATGAGCCTTTAACCTCTAAATAGCCGTCTGTTTTGGAGTATATATAATGTCTGCTTAAAGGATTTGTGATAAACTGTTCTAGATGATTGACTGTTCTTGTAGTTATAGTTTAATGGGGTTTTATACATACATGTGGTCCATGATTAACTCATTAGTTGGCTGTTATATTGTATACATGTTGAATTAATAAGGCCAGCCATCATTTGAAGTCGATGGTAACAAGTACTGTGACATTGCTGGTTCGTCTCTCTTTTTTTCTCTCTAATGCCTCATGCCTGTGCCTGGACTATGTCACCTGTAAACGTAAAAGTCTTCAGGTGGTATCTGACATTTAATGGGTCATCAAAATGACTTTACGATTATAACTGTTATATTCTTTTTATTGTGAACTTTTATCCTTGGATCTTAATAACACATGATACAGCGACACATGATGCAATGTGTGGAAAGTTTACATTTGCTATTAGTTGAAAAGTAATAATAAATATGATAAAATGCACATACTGTAGGAAAAAAAACAAACCTAAATAAAAACACATGTGGTGTTGTTCAGTCCTGGAGATCAGACATTGCAGCTGGAAACAATTCACTAAGGTGTTCCCTCAGAGGCACCCTTGGGAGTGAGGTTTTATCTTAATGCGCAGTTGTCTTATTAATCCTTTCAATAAATACAGATCTGCCTGCTGAGATCTTAAACCCATCACCACAAGCTGCAGTCGAGAGGATTTTGGACCATTCAGTCATCGTACAACCAAATCATTGATGGCATTTCTTCTGCATGTACTCTGAAGGTGTAGCTGTGTGTGTTCCGTACTTGTAGTTGTTTGTGATCATTGTTCTTGACAGACTTTCAGTTGCTCACCTGTCCTGCTTCATATGGAAAAAATACAATTTTATAGCTGACGTGCTCAGACGATCTTTTCCATCACCTGTCCGCTATACAGTCAGTAGTGTGTATCCTCAGCTTTGTGAAGTTTGCTTCTTCACTAATGCTTATTGCTTCAAGTTCCTAGGATGTGTTGGAAATGCAGCACGGAGGGTATCAGGCTGGGGCATCTTGTTTAATTTGCCTGCCTAATTGTGCAGGTTAA